AAGGCCCACTTCCATTTGCAATATTAGTGTGCAGCGCCATTTGTTTGTCAGATAGTATATCAGAGCGGCTTTGATCTGGCCTTGTCCAGCGCGGTGGCGTTGGCGAGCCTGGAAATAAACGACGGCGGGATACCCAATATCTTCCGCATGCATTTGCAGTGGAAGGCGTCTAATCTCGCTCTCTCGGACTTGAGAAGCCATACTGAATCCAACGGGTACAAGACCTTGCTCAAAACGCCAGCGGAGTAAATCTGATACTTCCTTTTTCCATCCAATGGCGGCGTGAGACTATATGTTCTGCAGCTGCTTGAAGACGTTCGCTCCTTCGCCCGGCCTCCGAGACAACTCACTACCAGCTTTGCCATCGCAAGGTATGAGCCCACCCAAATATACGGCTTCCCTGACGGATGTCATGTTTTCGCCCGTAGGTTTCTTTACTTCTCCTGTTGACGGTAATTTCATCTGCACTGCTTTATCCTAATTTAATTCAATGCCATATTTACGACCTTCCGTGACAATTGATTCGAGCATGAGCTGCACATTCTCGGGGTGTTGCGACGCCAAGAGAGTGTCGTCTGCGTGCAAAATGTCCCTGGTGATCACATAATCTGGCTCTGGCTGTAGTTCCAGCGAGTCCAGGGCGTCTTGTAGCATCACGGCTTGAACAGCGATGAGCAAGGAGGGGCTGAGAGGGCAACCTTGGGCGATACCTGCAGATTGCGTTCTCTCCGAGGAAACCCCGCAATGATCAACAATGGTGAAGCACCGCTCAGCGTAAATCCCATGAATCATGTTGACAATTTTCGGTGGTAATCCAAAACTCTCCAAGGCCACGCACATGCTGTCGGGCTTCAGGCGATCGAAAGCTTTCGCCCAATCTAATAATAGAAATAATAAGCCACCCCCATTGTTCAAATGAGCTGCATCCACCATCCTCCTGACTAACATCAAAGCGTCACACGTACCACGCTTTGGGCGGAAACCGAATTGAGATTCCCGCATTCTCCGCTCGCACCCACCGTCTGAGAGTCTCTGGTGTAGCATCGACGCCAACGCTTGGTAGCCCACGGCCAAAAGGGAGATCGGTCTGTAGTTGCTTGGTAAGGTGGCGTCCCCCTTCTTGAACAGCAGCGCCACGTTGGCCCGCCTCCACGTTGACGGTGTGTTCTTCGTCTCCCAGCATGTTTGGCACACGCGCAGGAGTGTTGCGCAAACATGTTCGTCTCCACAAACGACATTCCAGAATTCCGCAGGCACGTCATCAGGTCCTGCTGCTTTCTTGTTCTTCATCTTCTTGATCGCCGCCTGAAGCTCTTCTAAAGAGAACGTGCCGGCGTTGATCTTCAAGGTGCCTCCAAGCATCTCGGTGTTCGTGGGCACCGCGTTGGCAGAACAGACTTGCCATTGCACCTGCTCGAAATACTCTGCAAGGGTGTCTGGTCGGGCTGCAGTGTCAGAAAGATTCCCATTCAAGTCTTTCACTCCCACGTGCTTACGGGGCGCAGGTCTTCGTAGTTGCTTGACCGCGTCCCAGCTGCCAGAAGAGGCTAAATTCCCCAACCAGGCCGCACGATTTTTCTTCCCAGCTTTCCGTATGAGTCTGTGTAGGCGGAGCTCGTTGTTGTAGTCCCCTGATTTGCGGTAGGCGTGTCTCTCGGCAATGAGTCCCAAAGTAAACGTACTTGTCCATGGTTTTCGTGGTCGTATTTCACCGCTTGGACGAACAGCAGCTGCGGCATCGAAAGATTGCTGTAAATGTTCCGCCGCTTCGTCCACGGAAGGGGACAAAGGTAGGTCCACGATGGCATCGGAGAATGTCGCGGTGAAGAGCTCGTGGGTATGCTTGTCCGCCAGAGCACCAACATCAATTTTCTTATTCTTGGGCGCGCCAGCCCGTGAAGATCGTTGGATTCCGAGCTGCAGCGTAGCACATGTGAGACACTGATAACTATTGAGGGTAGCTGCTCTGGCAGCCCAGAATTATTCCATGCGTGCAAGTATCGCCTGATGGCATAAAACGTGATCGATGTGAGAGAAGAGTTCCGGCGATATCGGTTGCAACGATTGCACTCCCAAGCTCCGGTAGGTTATCTTGTCAGCGTCCTCCCCTTCGAAGAATGTGTTCGCGACCACCATATCGCAGTCCGCGCATCACTCCATTAACATCTGCCGGTTCGTCACCTGTGAAGCGGGTCGTTTTGGTGGAGGTCCTCGGAAAACGTGTTCTCCAATAGTGTCCTTTTCACCCGCTCCTCGGCATAATATCCCAGCATTGTAATCACCCAAAACGACAGTGGAACTGTGCGGCGTTGTTGGCATTACGTGCTTGGCGATGTCTGCATAGAACGTCTGTCGCAATCCTGGGTCATGTCCGCTGAGGGGGGCGTATGCGGAAATGAGCGTCAGGATGCCTCCGAAGACCTTGATTCTGAGTGTAGCCATTCTAGGGCCGATAGCTTTGAAAGCAACGACGGCAAGGCACGCCCGAGGTGATATGACGAACCCCACTCCTGCATCGGATCTGGAATCCAAGTTTGCCTCGCCGGAGAGAAAATAAAAAAAACCATCTTGTATGAAATATTCGGCTCCATGCAGCTGTGTTTCCTGTATACATAATATGTCGACGGCGTAGTTTTCCATGATGTTGGCCACTTTTGTTAACTGTACAACTGAATTCCCACGCATACCTTCGACATTCCATGTGCCAAGGCGCATCGTATTGAGGGAAGAACACAGATGCCTGGATCTCCCCCGCGAGTCTGGGAGCTTCCCTGGCCTGAAAATTGCGGACGTCAAAGCTGCAGGTGCCAGTCCCGAGGTGGCCTGGCGAGCTGGAGACCCTGACGTGGGCAAGCAAGAAAATGATGTAGAAGAAGCCGGGGGAGTAGCAGGAGACGAAGATGAAGAAGATGGAATATAAAATTGTGGTTGCGGCCTGGTGTCGTTGCACATGCCGTTTGCGAAAACATGTACATGACCCCGTAGGTATGAACATAGCGGTAGCTTTGCCCAAGGTACGTCCAGAACCATCGGAATCAAGCGAATTAGGCTGAGGAGGTACGGCTCTGCTGTCGACTTTTCCGGGGCAGGTATCTGAAACCGACTTGTTGGAGAAGGTGGTAGCTTTGCCCAGCATGTCCCCAAATATCAAAAGGTTAGGCGGATCAGATTGTGGATGTCCTTGTCCAGCGGCTCCGGTATCAAGTCGGACGTTCCCTGATACTTGCCGTGTTTCCTTCGCCTTCGCCTCACCTTTAGACTGGCCCTTCGGCCCTCCCTTCATCCCTGCTGTCGCCCGGGTTACTAAGGAGTCGCATTTAATCAAAAGTTCTTTTAGTTTTTCGTGCTGCTGTAGTTCCTCCCATTTCTCCCATTCCTCCTCCCACTCACGAGTAAGATGCGTGCCGTCCGTAGCAACAGTAAGAGCCAATTGACCACCCACTCGAACTTGGTAAGGAGCGTCGTTTGATACACTAATGGTGTAAGCCGAGTGCATGGTATCTTTAAGGAGATCTTTCAACCCGAAGCAGAAGTTCCGACCGGCCCTCTCCAATGGGTGGCGGTCGCTCGAAGCCCATACAGTATTCCCATTGAGGTCGAACTTCGCGCTCTTGATCAGAGCCACCGCAGTATCCCTGTCCAGCGCGGTGGCGAACTCTGCATACAAAATGCTGGTCGTATCGCCTTGCATGTACAAGTTGTACGGGATGGGGCCGTCTGCTTCGCATAGTTTTTCCTTGATCCACGCTGCCGCTGTGTTGAAAATGTCGACCCCCACAAGATTCCCGAAGACACCTGTCAGCGTTCTCTTCTCGTCAGGGTCATGCTTTGGATGGCGAGCTGGTGCAACATGCTGTTGTTTTAGCTGTTGAAGATCCCGTTCAACACAGTGTCCATCCTCCACTCTACTCTAATCTACCCCACTCCACTATGCCGCAGTACCCTCTACTCTGCTCTGTTCTTATTTACGCCACTCTAGAATGTCATGCCCGATTATCCCCTACCATCTACATGTCTCTACTTTACTCTACGCTGCTCTGATCTGATCTAGTCGACTCTACTCGACTCTAAATTGCCCTTCTATTGCTCTCCTCTACACTGCTCTGCTCCGATCTGCTTGGCGCTGCTCTACTCCTGACATCATCGCTCTACTCTGTTCTACTCCTCTCTACTCTACTCCTATCATACTCTGGTCGACTCTGCACTTGCCTGATTCTGCATTTGACGATTGCTGGCTGATTAATGGGACGCCATTGGGAAAGCCACAAGACGCCATTGCAAGTGCAGAGAAAGTCATCGCAATAGCACGAGACATGCATTACAATGGTTTAGAGCAAATCGGAAGGCGTCACTGGACCAGTTTCCTACGAGTGGAGACAGGGCCCCTAGTGGTAAGCCGATCTTGAAAAAGACGATGCGTGAGTACAATTTATTTGGACTCGGCTTGACCGCAAAGGCCGCCTCCCCGCACATCTCTTCAGTCCCTGCCGATGGAGCCTCACTCAATGCAGATACCTGTAGCACACATTACGTCTGAAAATTGGGATTCCGAGCTGAGAGAGATCGCCTGATCCCTGCAAGGCGGCGAACACAGCAAGCGCCAGCCGGAGCCCGTGAGTACAATGCTGCCTCAGTCAGGCACGCTTCAGGAACACTCCACGGGGGGCAACAAAAAAAAAAGATCCTGACACTCTCCAGTGCGTCTGCGAGCCAGTCAAGACGCACCTGGAGAACCCCACAAAGACACGGATCCCGCTCCTCCTCCGACCTCTCGCGGGGTGCGTCCCGACTCGGACTTCGACACGCATCCAGCGGCGGCGGCGAGGGCCTCCCAGGAGGCCACAAGAGAGGGGAAAACGAGGGAGGGGTCGCGGGATGGGTACCTCCTCCTCTGGATTCTCTGGTTTGCCTGTGAGCAGGCCAACGCGCTCCGCCACTCCTTGACCTCCGGAGCACCCGAGGAGGCCTGGAGGTGCGCCGCGAGGGGGGGGAGCTCAGTCCTGCAGCGCGTGCCCGCTGGTCCGAGGTGGCCGGGGGGCAGATCCAGGCGCAGGTGCGGAGGGAGCTCGGGGCCCGTGGGCTCCTCGGGGGGCAGGGCAGCGGGTGGGGTCAGACAGGCTTTTGCTTCGGCCCGACCGAAAAAAGCGACATGGAAGGGGCCCAGGGACACACGGGCAAGGAGGAGACACAGGCAAGTCACAAAAATCCCAAGATCGTCCATGTATCTTCTGGATGTGCATCTTCTCCTCAACTTCCCATATTCGCGCCATCGCTCGGACTCCCATTCCCCGTGCATTTCTCGATTTCGTGCGTGTATGTTTCAGAAATTGATCAAAAGTGCTCCTCGAGGGTCCTTGCCGGGAATCAACATGCGCACGTCCGAGCGACGCCAAGTACCTTCCGTATTTTCCTGGGAGGCGACGATCTTCTGCCTGTGGGGGCAAAAAGCCCTGGGGCGTGTGTACTGAGTGTGGCCCCGAGCGGTGGAATCTGCCAAGGGTGGAGAGGTTAGCTGCCCCGCTGCGCAACACAAAACCAGAAGCGTACAACTACGGAGCTCGACACGAAGACTGAACACGCAAGTCTGGCGCCATACGCTCGCCAAAACGTGGGCCAACACGCTGAATCAACACGCAAAGCATTCACACGGACGTCCTGAACATGATGGCCCTGGTTTCCACCACCACCACCATAAGTTGGAGGGGGAGGGGGTCGTCCTCCTCCACCACCTCCTTCTCCTCCTCGTCCTCCTCCTCGTCCTCTACCTCCTTCCCCCCTCCAGCTTATGGTGGTGGTGGTGGAAAACAGGCCCATCAGAACACGCCACGTGCTGCGTTTCAACACGGGCGTATCAGGGCAGCCAAGCTTGGGGAAAATCGTTCCTCCGGCGGCCGACCCGCGCCACCTCGGCACCTCAGCCCGAGCCGGAATGGGCTGCGGTCTGGCCCACCTCCCGCACGGCGCAGCGAGAGTGGGCGGCTGCGCGGGGGACCGACGGGGGGGGCAGGCCATCGGCCTCGCGCGGCGCCGTCGCTCCTGCGCGCTGCGGGTCCCAGGTGCGGACAGGGTCACGAGAAAAGGTGCCGGTTCCGCTACTCCCGGGACCTCTTCTGGGGTGCGTTCTGACCAGGGTGTCGAGACGGACCCAGCGGTTGGCGACGAAGTCTCCCAGGAGGCCCAAAAAGGGGACAGCGGGCGAAGGGTAGCGGTATGGGTACCAATTTTCCTCCTCTGCGTCTTGGACCTTCGGGATCCCTCGGACAGGAGGTGCAGTGGACGTGGATAACCGAGTGCGGGCGATAATACTAACTGGGAGATAACAAAGTTCGGGTGCCTGGCGGGGATAATCAAGGATTTTCCCAGGGGGAAGGTGAAGTTATGATGATGATGATGATGATGATGATGATGATGATGATGATGATGATGATGATGATGATGATGATGATGATGATGATGATGTTGAGGAGGAGGAGGAGGAGGAGGAGGAGGAGGAGGATGATGACGATGATCATGATGATGGTGATCCCGGGCGCTCGGCACAAGACTGACTCGAGAGATCTCAATGCTCGTAGCTACAACTTGCCAGCAGGCGCCATCGCTCGGACGCCAGGGGAGCTGCCTGGAGCCAGCCCTGGGGCGTCTCCGGGCGCCTCATGGCCCGTCTTGAGGTCGTCTGGGAGCGCCTCGGAGCGCTTCGGGGGCCCTCTCGGGGCGTCCCGGAAGCCTCCTGTCGGGCGTTGGCAGAACTCGGTTTAGTGGGACCTGGCTTGGTGATGTGGACTGGGGGGCGCCCACCAGAACTGCCGTCACCCGAAAAAACACCAGCTACGGCAGACCTGGTTTGGTGAGTCTGTCCAACTTAGGGGCTCCAGGGCCCTACTACTAACTGGGTCCCCTTACCTGGGGTCCTGGCTATACCCTATCCTGGGCCGCCTGGAACTCCTCCTGCTCGCGCCTGGAGCGCTCCCGAGGCCGCGTCGAAGCCTCGGGTGCCTCCTGGGGTGGCGCCCAGCGGAGGGGCCGCCGCCTGCAAAGGAGGTCGCGGCCAGGGGCCCCGGGCCCGGGATCTCTGGTGTCAGCGCAGCGGCCCCACGGGAAGCAAGAAGAGTGATCCTGATTCCCAGGCCCAACGGGCCAGAGGCGTGCTAAGATCTCCGGCTAGGCCTGCTGGGCTCAGCGTTGCTCGAGATGAAGCGAGCGGGCCCACGCGAAGCGACAGACGAGGGCAAGAACATCAGGAAGAAGCTCAACAACAAGAGCTACGTCCCCAAGGTTGGGATAAAAAGGAGGATGTGCCAGACCAGAGCGGTATCGAACACCTTCTCAAGCACATCCTGGGCAAGGGCAAAGGCAAGGGCAACGGCGCGCCCTCGAGGGGACGGTGCGGCTCACAAGGGCGAGCTCCAGCGAGCCGTGGGCGATCCACGTCTGGCAGGAGCTCGAGGTCTTCCAGGGCCTCGAGGAGGAGCTCCAATGCCAGGGGGCCGACGCAGAGGAGTCGATCTGCCTCAGGAGCCGGCTCGGGGACGTCGAAAAGAGAGCCTCGTCATCCAGGGGGGGCATCTGGGTCGCAGAAGGTGCTGGTGAGGGCGCCCACGCCTGCAGCCAGAAGGGGCAAGGGCAAAGGCAAGGGCCACCAGCACAGGCATGGTCGATACAATCGGCCAAAAAACTGAGACGGCGGGGCAGGTGCTTCAGGGCAGGGGATGGTACTGAGGTCGACATGTACAGGTTTTCTGTCGTTCGCACACTTCGCACGCCCTTGGTGCGATTACTCTCCAAGCCACCTTCCAAGGGGGTGCATCTTCTACCCGCCGATCTCACTGATGTGCATGTTTCCCCATATGTCGTTCTACATTTACAACACGGTGGACCATCCATTCCTGACCAAGGCCGGACCACTTCAAAGACTCTTGTCGCAGAAGCTGCCAGACTCGCTCGAAGATGGCAAATCTATGATTGTTTCAAAGATTCCACCGGCCATTTCCAGCCTCGCCGGTGCAGACTGCCGAGCAGGTGGTCGCCGCCAGATAATCCAGTTTTGGTGTCGCTGCACCGAGAATTGGTTCGAGAGCTGGAGAAATTCGAGCCACGGAAGTTCAGACGCAATGAAGACTGGTTCGATCGCCTGGCTATCAAGTGGCTTCGGGAAAACAGGGACCTCAAGAATCTCGGGGACGCCGTTGTGTCGAGGCATTGGATCTTGATGCAGGCCAACCTCCAGGTCCAGAAAGGCTTCACGATCGTTGATTCCGTCACGTTTCAAGCAGCGCAGAGCCAGAATATAGCTAGATATTCGCAGCTGGTTGATTTGGCTTTGCAACAATATCGCATTTCAAAACAAAATCGGCAATCTCCTCTGCACATGCTTTCGCGAACACATCCGGGCATCTTCTGGATCACTGTGAAAAAGCACAACCGTCCGCCAGCGAGCTGGCCAACTTTGAAATCATCGAATCCATGGTTGGCGCCGGGATGCATCTTCCTGACAGCAACTGGGCCCGCTGCAAAAAGACTGCCGTTGGGTGATCAGCTCGGCGGATGAATTGTTGGACAGAAGGAGGAGGCAACGTATTCCGGTGGGCTACAATCCCAGGACCACGGACGTCATCAATTTGTATCCTAGCATCGATCGTCGCCACTTGCTGCAGGTACTCGGGCATAAGATCTGGGCAAGATGGGCCGCTGACCCGGCGAAAGCTGTCTTCCTCTCGAAGATGCTGAAACTGGTGCTCAGCAGCCTCTACGTCACCTTCAACGGGGTGACCTTGCAGTGCGATGACGGGGTGCCGACGGGCATGAGCACGGGGGTCATTCTAGCGAATTTGTACCTCGACGATTTCGATGAGTACGTAATCAAAAGCTTAATTAGCCACTCGGTGTCGTACGACCAGCTCGTCGATGATGTCTGCATGGCTGACGACATGGACGACGCAGTAGTCTTGAATATATTCAACAAGAGGCATCCTAGTATACAGTTTGAACAGTCCCAGAAGGGTGTAGCTCATTGTTTAGACCTTACTTTAACAGTATCTGACGATAGAGGCTTGTCTTGGGACTTGTATAGGAAACATCAGAATGTGTATCTCTACATGCCGTTTTCTTCTGCCCACCATCTTAGCTGCACAAGCGGTCTGGTGAAGGGGGAAGTGCGCAGGATCCGCCGTAGGACACAATGCGTAAGAACGAGGGCCCTGCATTTGCAGTTTTTTGCCCAGAGGCTCGGACAGGGGGTTTCCCATGTGTTTCGTTAGGCAGATTGTCAACAGCATGGCTAGCACTATCGCGAATCCAACCCTGGAAGAGGCCGGCAGACCTAGGAGGTTACAGCTCCGGGGCCGGGATTCCATGAAAGTTGTGTACAGGAGAGACATCGACGAAATGCGGTTGCGCAAGACTCTCGGCAAATGTAACGGCACTTTGTCGAAAGTTTTGGGACATGGTTCTAAGCACAGCATTGCTTGGTCCGTCGGGCGGAACAGGATCAGAAATAACCACGCGTTCACATGGAGAAATAGGGTTTGGTGGACGGGAGACTAAAAAAATCGTTGGTCCCGGCGTCTCTCGTGTTTCACGCGGGCTCCGTGAAATGGAGCGGCGCAGTGGGAAGGCATCTTCCGTTCCCCTCCCCTCTTCGCTCCTGCGCGCGCGTGCTGGCAAGAGAGAGGGCCGTGCCACAGCTATTGTTGCTCAGGCCGGCGAAAGCTCACCACAGAGCGCCTGCAAGACAAGCTATCACATACATCACAGGTTTGAGATCGTCAGTTGTTGTATTGTGAGGCGTGCTAAGATCTCCGGCTACTGGTACACAATATTTCGAGGTCGCGCGCGCGGGGGGCGGCTCCTGGGGGTCGGGCGGTCCGACCCAGAGATGTTTGTTCCCTCTGGGCGCGGCTTTCAGGCGCCCCACAGCGCTCCTACAGGGTCGCAAGAGTCCCCAAGACGGTCCAAGAGGGCTCCGAGTTGCCGACCGATCGGTCCGAGACGCTCAAGATAGCCTCCAGACGGCCGCAGACGCCCCCAAGACGCCCAAGGAGGTCTCGAAGAAGCGTCTCAAGAGGGCCCCAGGAGGCAAAAACCATCGATTACCCTTCGGTGTTTCAAAGATTTTAGCGTTCTCGTCTGCTCGGCTTCCAGACGCTCAAAGACGGCCCAAGAGGCCCCACATATCGCCCCAAGACGTCCCAAGAGGCCTCCTAGAGAGCCCCAAGAGGGCCCCAAGACGGCCCAAGAGGCCTCCAAGACGGCCCAAGATATCCCCAGGACGGCCCCAAGAGGGGGCCAGACGGGGAACCCGAACTGACTTTTCGAGCCCTCGGCCCCAAGAGGCGCCCAGGAGGTCCCAAGAGGCCGCCGAGAACCCCCAAGAGAACATCACAAGAGGCCCCCAAGCGCCCCCCCAGCGGCCTCAAAGAGGCCCCCAAACGCTAGCAATTGCACAATCGGTCCGAGACGCCCAAGATGGCTTCCAGACAGCTCTCACTGCCATCACTCCCCCACCCCCTCCTTCTCCACTCTTACCACCATCCCTGTCCTCAACCATATCTCCACCATCCCTGCCACTTCAACCACCACCAGCGCCGAGAGGCTTCAAGGTATATCAAAACAAGCCACAAGCCATGAACCATTGAGGGTGATTATGTTTCCAAAGGATTTGGACATTGCCGCTTCTTCATGTGTTGGACCGTCCAAAACGGCCCAATTCGACCCCAAGAGAACGCTCTAGAGGCCCTCCAAGAAGCCCCAGGCGACGGAACCCGAGCTGAGATTTCGAACCCGTCCCCGAAAGATCCTCCGAAAGCGGCGTCTTGTCCACGACCAAGGATGGCAACGTAATACAAATTGCCACAAGAAGCCGTCGGAAGGCATCCTCATCCTCATCCTCATCCTCATCCCCCCCTCTTCCTCATCCTCCTCCTCGCTCGCAACGGTCACACAAACATGTAGCACGAGCAATGCGATTCAAGAACCGTTTGGGAGATGACCAAAGTTAGGAGGACCAGGAACATCAGGGGTCGTGGTTGTTTTCGCTGGTGTTTCATACGAGACCACCCATATGTTTAGGGATATGCCTGGAAACCGTGGACCAGACTTCGGCAACGAGCTCACTGTGATACCAGGGTTAAAGGGTAACATGTCCACATCCGTCGCGAACAGTAGACCAGGGGATGCCGCACAGCTACCAATTCTTGCCCCTCAGATCGCTGAGCAACAAAAACAACAAGGTTAACACTTGAGCTTGCCCCCCGTTCACCAGGGGGCTTGGTCAATGCTTGTCCTTAAGGGGCAACCCTTGACCTAGCCCCCTGGGGTAAGCACCCCCCCGGCAACCAGCAGCCAGCAACCTGAGGCTCCAGTCTTCGCTCCGCTGGTGAATTTGCTCGCTCAAGGGTGTGAACTCCTCGTTCATGCCATTATGCCATGTCTGCACCAGCGAAGCTCGGAAACCTATGGGCTCATGTAGGATCTGATAGGGATCCTATAGGGATAATATAGGAAACCCATGCGGTCCTATAGGATCCTATAGGGATCCCATCGGGATCCTATGGGGATTGTATAAGAATCCCATGCGACCCTATAGGAGCCTATAGGGTTCCGATGCGGTCCTATTTGGAACGTGTAAGATTCCTATACGATCCTACAGGCATCCTATACGATCCAAAAGGGATCCTATAGGAATCGCATAGGAATTCAATACGACCTGATAGGAATCCTATAGGATCCAATCCTATAGGAATCCAATCGCATCCAGAGAGGTACGCCGAACTGAAGCTTCGGTGAAGCTCCCTGTGGGGCCAGGGCCACGATCCTCGAAAGGGGTGTGCTGAATGGAAGCTTCGGTGGAGCTCCCTGTGGAGCCAGGGCCACGATCCTCGAGAGGGGTGTGCCGAATGGAAGCTTCGGTGGAGCTCCCTGTGGAACCAGGGCCACGATCCTCGAAAGGGGTGTGCCGAAATGAGGCTTCGGTGGAGCTCCCTGTGGGGTTAAGGCCAGGATCCTTGAGAGGGGTGTGCCGAATGGAAGCTTCGGTGGAGCTCCCCGTGCCGTGGGGCCAGGCCACGATCCTCGAGAGGGGTGTGCCGGTTGCTGGTTGCAGGTTGCTGGTTGCCTGGGGAGGGGGTCCCGGGCGACAAAGATCAAGTGTCAATCAACAGCAACAACAACAACAAGAACAACAATAATAACAACAACAACAGCAACAACAACAACAACAGCGACAACAACGACAACAACAACAAAAACAACAACGACACATAACAACAACATCACCAACAACGACAACAACAACAACAACATCATCAACAACAACAACAACAACAACAACAACAACAACAACAACAACATCAACTGCATGCCACGCTCGCTGTTTCTAGCATTAGGGCCCCCGCGGCCAGGGGCCTCCGGGGCCCCGGCTATACCCGAGGATCCGCCGCCTGTCGAGGTCGCAGAGGATCGCCCTCCCAGGCGGTGGTCATGGATAAATCCGAGCCTCGGAGGGGGAGGGGGGAGGCAACAAAAAGGCAGGGGCGTTCAGGGGATGAGCTCAGTCCCAGCCACGTCAGAGCTGGGCTGGCAGACCATGAGGCCGAGTTTGGACCCCCTGAACCCAAACATGTTGTCATCTCTTGGGAGGGCGGCTTTTGCTTCCGCTTGCTTCCACCGAGCTTCCGCGGGCCTCCTTCCGACGGCGGAACCGCCGCCGTACTACTTCCGCTGCCTTCCGCCGACCTTCCGCCGCCTTCCACCGCAGAAGAGATGACAACTCCTTCGATCTTCGAAGGCAAAGTCCTTTTTGGAACGCCTCGTGCATCTGCGGGTTTAATGTGCATGCAGGGCCACCGAGTGTGCAATGACGCCATGGGCCTGCCCGAGGGTGCCCTCCTGGCCCGTAGGCGAGGAGGGGGCCCCGCACAAAACTCCAGACACGCTGCAAGACGACAGTCCGACCTAGGACAGAAAAACAATATTACATGAAACCCTCCGCCGTCCCAAATACAAAGAACATCCGATGGAACCCTCCCAAGGATGCATAAAAACATCCAACAAGCACGAAGAACATTAGGATACCCTTCCCGCACCGACCAAGATCTTACACTTTGGTCCGACTGCAAGGTGGGGTGCGTCGCTGGGGCCATCTCTTGGCCCGAAAAGGCCCTGAGGGGGGGAAGCGCAAGCGGTGCGGACGGTGCTGCCGCGGGTCGCGCCGAAGGACGGAGGAGGAGGGGGAGGAGGAGGAGGAGGAGATAGAGAACACAACGCTGCACAAAAAGCATAAACTTTCGGAGGGCCGCGCGGATTTCTTGTATCGGTGCTAGACCCCCCTTCCTGCCCCGTTCCGCGCGCCAGGGGCGACGCCGAAAGCGCCGCCAGGGGGCTGCAGCGCCGATCCGCAGAATCCGCGCGAACTTGGAGAGGTGTCCTGTTGATGCCATTGTTTGTTCTTCCAGACAGGCCCGACTCAGAGCAAGGGGAAATTGGAGAAGGAGGCAGGAGGGGCCCAAAAGGCCCGGCCCAGAGCGGATCGGGGCTGGCAAACGACGTCCTGCTGCCCGCGCGCAGCGTCCACGGGCCGCGCCGTGCTGGCGCTGGAACCTCCGGCGGGATCTCGGAGCCCGCCAGGGCCAGCCTCGATCGGGTGCGACGCAGACGCCGACGACACGAGGCCTCACTCCTCCTCCTCCTCCTCCTCCTCCTCCTCCTCCTCCTCCTCCTCTCCTCCTCTTCCTCCTCCTCCTCCTCCTCCTCCTCCTCCTCCTCCTCCTCCTCCTCCTCCATTCCTTCTCCTTATAAGAAACTTGTCCCTATCGCACCCCGAAGCCAAAGTTTAGGGCGGGCCGGGTGTTTCGCCTGAGTTTTCCTCACCACGCACACTGTGAAGCTTGAAAAGTGGCAACAGCTTCCCAGATTGAGGGCGGGCCGTTTTCAAAATGTGGCTCTCCCTCCCTACCGCCGCGCTCATTCGTTTTGACCAGTTGCAACAGCTTCACGGATTGAGGGCGGTTCCTTTGTCAAAATGTGGTTATCGCGTTGGCGCCGCGCACATTCGTTCTAACAAATACAAGAGCTTTGCACATTGAAAGCGGGCCGTTTTCAAAATGTGGCTCTCGCCTTGGCGCCGCGCACATTCATTTTCAAAACTTGCAAGAGTTTCACGTAATGATGGCGGGTCGTTTTCAAACTGTGGTTTTCGCCCCAGCTCCGCGCACATTCGCTTTCAAACTCCGCCGAACGTTTTACGGATTGAGGGCCGCTCCTTTTACTAATGTGGCTCTCGCTTGAGCGCCGCGAACATTCGTTCTCAAAAATTGCAAGAATCCCGCTGGCTTCCATGATCAACGTAACAGAAATGATGTTTTGGAGGGATTCGGGATTATGCGGGTGCAACAATTATGGTGGTTCGCGGTGTCGACGTCCCAGGAATGACATTCTGGCGCGATTCCAGATCGTCAAGACGCAGCAGTCAGGTTGATACGTGGCGTTAGAATCCCGTGAACAATGTTTTGGCATGCTCCCGGATCTTCAAACGGCTGTCCTTCAACGAGGCAGTTCCCTCAAAGGAAATGGAACGTTGCATGGGGCCTATGAAGAGGGAGCCTGGAAGGAGGGTTAATTCCAACATCGTTGATGACTCTTGGGTTTACACTGGTCCTCTTCCTCCTCCTCATCCTCCTCCTGCCTCCTCGCATCTCCTCCTGCCACCTGCCCCCTGCCTACTCCTCTCCTCCTCCCATCCTCGTCCACCCCCCTCCCCTCCTCACTATTTCTCCTCATCCTCGTCCTTCTCCTCCGCCTTGGGAGGAGCAAGGATTGCCAAGCAGAGCCCCCCCAAAGGAGCCGCGACGATTTCAAAATGGGAAAATGTCCAACACGTTGCTTTCCTCAAACTGGATCGCGGGGAATGATCATGGAACGCCCGCGCGCCATCGAATCGCCGCGCTCCGCCTGCCCCCGCCATTGAATCAAGCCGGGCGAGCCGCGGGCACGCGACCAACGCGGCCCCCGAGCCAGGCCGCCGCGTGAACGCCATGGAACTCATCGCCGCGATGATGCTTCATTCCGCAATCGTCGGGCATAGCGCCCGCGCGAATGTGGGCGCGAGCCGCAGTCGAAGCGCAGGCGGAATCGGCGCGCGCGCGCGCCGCCGTCGACAGGCCAGGCGCTGCCCCTGCCGCGCGGCCGATAGCTTGCGCGGGAGAAACACCTCCCAAGCTGATTTATTCCCTACCTAGGCTCTGCCTAGAAGGGTTCTTACTTTCTTTGCTAAAGGGGGCGGGCAGTGTGGCTCACCCCGGGCGGTTCCCCCGGTTGCGCCCCCCTGGTTCCCCCAGTTGCGCCCCCTGGGTTCCCCTTAGCTTAGCTTAGCTTAAGCTTAGCTTAGCTTAGCTTAGCTTAGCTTAGCTTAGCTTAGCTTAGCTTAGCTTAGCTTAGCTTAGCTTAGCTTAGCTTAGCTTAGCTTAGCTTAGCTTAGCTTAGCTTAGCTTAGCTTAGCTTAGCTTAGCTTAGCTTTGCCTAGCCTAGCCTAGCCTAGCTTAGCTTAGCTTAGCTCAGCTCAGCTTAGCTTAGCTTAGCTTTGCCTAGCCCAGCTTAGCTTAGCTTAACTTACCCTGAGCTTAGCTTAGCTTAGCTTAGCTTAGCTTAGCTTAGCTTAGCTTAGCTTAGCTTAGCTTAGCTTAGCTTAGCTTAGCTTAGCTTAGCTTAGCTTAGCTTAGCTTAGCTTAGCTTAGCTTTGCCTAGCCTAGCCTAGCTTAGCTTAGCTTAGCTCAGCTCAGCTTAGCTTAGCTTAGCTTTGCCTAGCCCAGCTTAGCTTAGCTTAACTTACCCTGAGCTTAGCTTCGCTTAGCTTAGCTTAGCTTAGCTTAGCTTAGCTTAGCTTAGCTTAGCTTAGCTTAGCTTAGCTTAGCTTAGCTTAGCTTAGCTTAGCTTAGCTTAGCTTAGCTTAGCTTAGCTTAGCTTAGCTTAGCTTTTAGCCTAGCCTAGCTTAGCTTAGCTTAGCTCAGCTCAGCTTAGCTTAGCTTAGCTTTGCCTAGCCCAGCTTAGCTTAGCTTAACTTACCCTGAGCTTAGCTTCGCTTAGCTTTAGCTTAGCTTAGCTTAGCTTAGCTTAGCTTAGCTTAGCTTAGCTTAGCTTAGCTAGCTTAGCTTAGCTTAGCTTAGCTTAGCTTAGCTTAGCTTTGCCTAGCCTAGCCTAGCTTAGCTTAGCTTAGCTCAGCTCAGCTTAGCTTAGCTTAGCTTTGCCTAGCTTAGCTTAGCTTAGCTTAGCTTTCGCTTCGCTTCGCTTAGCTTAGCTTAGCTTCGCTTCGCTTCGCTTAGCTTAGCTTAGCTTAGCTTAGCTTAGCTTAGCTTAGCTTACCCCATCTTAGCTTAGCTTAGCTTAGCTTAGCTGTTGCTTTCCTGAATGCTCCAACTCCTAGGTAGGGTCGCACTGGGATAATGATGGAACGCGCCGGCGCGGGACCGACAGACCACAAGGGAGGGCCACTTTGGAGACTCCGCGGGAAGGAGAAACGCTCGAGCGCGAGCGCCACGTGGGGAACTGGAGGGACGCCGGAGGCGGTTGGGTCTCATGCCCGCGCAAGTTTAGCAAACTCCGCTTCTGGGGAGTAGCGCTCGTGGGGCCCACCGCGGGCGCGGGGGCCGCTGGCGCAAACTCTGCCGCAACCGCGGCGAGGCCCCGGCGCACTCCCCTGGGGGCCACGGCGCGCGGCTGCGCTGGCGGCGGAGAAGAAGGCCTGACGACAAACGTCGGCTTCGAAGCCTCAACGGCCGGCCGCGGCGCGGCGGCGCAATCGCGAACCCGCCGCGCGAGGCAGCGCCGCCCGCCGCGAGGGCATCCTCTCCAACCGAGCGGGGGTCCCCGGGGGAGCCCATGGCCCCCCCCCCCGACCCCCCCGCCGCCTTTCCGCGGCGCCCTGCTCCCCCTCCCCGTTCGACCACGATTTGGGGCACTTTTCTGGCAACGATTTTGCACACTTTTCTGGCCTCCCTTTCCGCGGAGGCGCACTTTTTTGACCACGATTCTTCCTACAATTAAAACAACAGGAAAAAAACGTGGGTGGCTTCGTGGGTCACGGTCGTGGGTGGTTTCGTGGGGCCGTGCAAGGGGGCGCGGAATCGTGGCCGAATATCGCGGGCAAAATCGTGTCCAAAATCGTGGGCGAAATCGTGTCCGAAATCGTGGGCGAAATCGTGTTGCCGAAATCGTGTTGCCGAAATCGCGGGCGCAGAATCGCGGGCCTGCCCGGTGCGCCGGCGTGCCAAGCAGGCGCGCCCGCGCAACATCAGCGACGGTAAACCAAAAAAAAAGAGAGAAGGAAGCGGCAGCAGCGGCAGGAAGGCCAGCAGCATCAGCGGGAAAAGGACAGAATGGAAAGCAGCAGCAAAAGAGGAGGAGATGAGTCGTCGAAATTGTCCCGCCCGTTCGTCGCGCGCCCCACAGCGCGCTGGACATGCTCCTCGGGGGAGACTCGCCGGCCCCACGGGCCAGAGGCGCGCGAAGATCTCCGGCGACTGCCTCGCATCATTTCTACTTCGCGCACGCGCGGGGCGGCCCAGAGGGCCCCCCGGACGCGAAGTGCCCCGGCCAGGTCGGGCCAGAGATGGTTCTTTTCCTGGGCGCGGCTTTCAGGCGCCCCGAAGCGATGCAAGAGGGCCCCAAGAGGCGCCCGAGACGATCCAAGAGGGCTCCGAGTCGTCGAACGATCGGCCAGCGACGCTCACGATGGCTTCCAAACGGCTCACGACGCGCGCAAGACCCCCGAAGAGGCCACCGCGAGCTGAAACGATACCCGAAAACGCGATTCTGAATTTAGTAGAAAAACGGTAGCAGAGAGACAAGGCGGAAACAGACCGGGGGCGACACCGCTCCAATGACGCGCCGAAGCGAGATTGCGCACAAGCCGCACGCCGAATGCCCAATGTCGGAGCGGGTCGGCGACGCAAGAAATTCTGAACAAAGCAAGACCGAAAAACTTGGAAATCTAATCTTTCTTGCTTCGGGAAAACACAAAATCGTTGCATCAATCCGCTTGGGGGGCGCAGCTTCATGACAAGGAGCGCGGAGCGAGGGGGGGGGAACAAGAGGAGGACGTCCGCAAGCGGGCACGATGCCCTGTCGGGGAAAACCAGGGGTGCAAAAAAAACGAGGAGCCTCCCCCTCTCCTGATCTCTCCACCTCCTGTTCGTGTGCGAAGTGTGCGAAAAGCAAATGTCCGTATAAGGTGATACTTATCCCGACGATATCCTCGACCTCGCGGGCCAGGTCCCTCGGCCGCGACCCCGCGGATACCGAATACGGGGCGTTTCTTCGCAGATGTCCCGCGGCGAAAATGTCCGTGCGACCGCGTATCCGCGGGATCGCGCCGCGGAATCCAGACCGCCAGGGCCAGTGTACGGATATGCTCGCCGCTCGTAACCTGCGCCCTCGTCCCCCTTGTCGCCCTCGTCCCCCAGGACGACGATCAAGTGCGAAACGGGGTGCGACATCAGTCTGCAGCAATCCCGAAAGATCGGATCGAATCGGAGTGTGCGTGGGATCGGGCTGCATCGGCACGGGGTCGAACTCGAACCGGGTCGGCTGCGCCAGGATGCACGGCAACGTAGTGCGAGCGTCGGGCCGCATCGGACCGTC